TCCCAGGGTCCTGGGATCGAGCCCCGCATCGGGCTCCCTGCTCCGCGGGCAGCCTGCTTCTCCCTCTCCCACTCCCCCTGCTTGTGTTCCCTCTCTGGCTGTCTTTCTGTCTGTCAAATAAATAAAACCTTTAAAAAAAAAATTAAAAAAAAAAAAAGAAAATAGAGTGACTATTAGTTAATGGGTCTGGGGGCTTTCGGGAGAGTGATGAAAAGGTTTTGAAACTGACTGTGCTGATGGTTGCAGAACTCTGAACACAGAATATAAAAACCACTGAACTGTACACTTTTTAAATAGGGGAATCGTATAAAATGTGAACCGTATCTCAGTTACATTGTTATTAAGGAGGGAAAAGGGGCCACATCGTTTGGGGGTGGCTAGCAGCCTGAAACAAAGTCGAGGAACTGCAAACGTCCCCACATCGGGTTCTTGCCATCATTTCACTAAAGAGAAAAATATGTTGCCAAGTAAATGGTCAGGAGCACCCCCGTTCCAGAAAGAGTAAGAGGGGACACACAACGTGCGTCGTGGACTCAGTGAGGTACGGCTTGCCGTACACAGCAGGAGACGCACACTGGAATATTCACAGCAGCTGGTCTGTTAACAGCCCCAGCCCAGAAGCAATGCAGGATCCACAGCCAGAAGCAGAGAAACCAAGGGTGGTCACTCACGCAGGAAATACTACACAGCCGCTCAAAGGAAAGAACTGCAGCTACACGCAGCCAGAGAGGACTTCCAGCCGTTAGGCGGAGCAAAAGAAGCCACACCCAGAGCAAGAGATAGACCATTCCCAACATCCCAGAAGCGCCTCCCCGCCCCCCGCCCCCACCACATTCCCTATGTAGTGACGTCTCTCTGTTTCTCGAGGGCAGCCAGTACCTTCCAACAGCATGGATTGGTTTTGCCTGTTTCTGTGCTTTATAGAAATGGAATCATTAAGGATGTAGTCCAGCGTTTGCCTTCTAATTGCTCTCATGACCACACAAGGATGTCCTCCTATGTACTTCTCTATACGCACAAATCTCAAAAGACGTACAAGCTACCCGCTAACCTCTGTGCTTTGACAATCCCACCGTGCAGAGCCTAAAGAGAATATAGTGATGAGGCTTATGAGAATCCTAACGGCTAACATTTGTTGGGAACCCTGCCCAAGGTCTGACATGCGATAACCTCCTTAACCCTTACAGCATCCCAGGACATGGGGACTGCTAGTTTCTCCATTTTACAGGTGAGAAAACCGAGGCTCTGCTGGGCTCCACATCACCAAGTTCTTAAATGCTAGACTATGCCGTCGGGAGGCCAAGATACAGAGCGGCTAGGCCCCCGGCAGGCCCTGGGCAGGCCGCCGCCCCGCCTCCGAGGTCCTCAGGCAACAGCTGTTCCTGCCAGTGACCTGGCCCTCCCTCCCCCACCTCGTCCAAGGTCATACCTCAGAAAGGGCAGTGGGGAGGGGGAGCTCCAGGAAGAAGGCCACAGACTCACCCATAGTCACTGAGACCATTGTCTCTCTGGCCCTGGTGCTGCTCCCGGGAGCCTGGAAGAGAGAACAAAGGCAGAGGGCCCATGAGTCGCTGCCGGGCTGTGAGTGTTTGTCCCTCCTTTGCTGCCTGTCGGGCCTGCCTGCCGGCCAGAGAAGACTGCCCAGGCTGGGGGCTCACAGCCCAGGAATAGCCTGAACACCTGGCAGGAAGTCAGCCTGTGACAGAGCTGCCACAACTCTCATGGTTGCCTGGGACAAGGCCCAGGGACGGCAAATGTCCACAGCTCCATCCCCACACACCTCAGAAGTTTCTGGCTGGGATAAGAGAGGGAGAGAAAAAAAAAAGACCCCCCCCCCCCGCTCAAGACTTTAACCATAAATACCCATTAGTCATCCATTCACAAATTATTTACCGACAGCCTAGGACGTGCGAGGCACTATTCTAGGAGCTAAAGATCCTGAGGTGAACAAAAATACAGAGCGTGGCATCTAGGTGGGACAGGGGAAGGGGGAGGAGAGAGTAAAGAAGCAAAACGGATCACAATACGGTGAGTCAGAAAGCCCTCGGTGTCACGCAGAACACAGAGAGGGCCTGGCAAGGGAGGGAGGGGTTGTGATTCGAAATAGGGCGAACAGGGGAGACCCCTCTAAAGCGACAGAGACCCGAAGGAGGTGGAGGAGTGAGCCCTGTGGTTTTACAGAGGAAGAGTATTCCAGGAGAAGATATAGCAAGTCCAGTGTCCAGAGCCAAGAGCCCATCTGGCATGGGTGCGAGATGGCACGGAGCCGGGATGACTGCGGGAAGTGGAGGCGAGGGGACAGGGGGAGGCAAGTGGGTGGAGCTGAGGGCAGAGAGGTGGGCCACCACATCAGGAGAGCCTCGGACAAGAAATGGAAAACCAACGTCCGCTTAGGTAAGACGAGCAGGTGCCAGAAAGCTGTTAAGGACATATTAGCACCACGGGGACTTTCCCCTGAACATTACTGGGCGCCTAGGTGGCGCAGTCGGTTCTGTCTTCGGCTCAGGTCACGGTCCCAGGGTCCTGGGATCGAGCCCCGAGTTGGGCTCCCTGCTCAGTGAGGAGCCTGCTTCTCCCTCTCCCTCCGCTGCAGCTCCCCCTGCTTATGCTCTCTGTCAAATAAATAAATAAAATCTAAAAAAAAATAAAGGAAACTAAAGGGAAAAACTTCCTTGCCTGATAATTCACTGCAATCTGCCTCCAGGACCACTTGTCCCACTCAGCCCTCCTATCCTTCTCTGGCCCTACCCTCTGCTCCAAGCCCTCTGCCCTCTTCCTTCACTATACTCCCTTCTACCCACACCGGCCCAATTTTTTTTTTTTAAGATTTTATTTATTTGAGAGAGAGAGCACAAGAGTGGGGGGAGGGGCAGAGGGACAAGCAGACTCCCCACTGAGCAAGGAGCCCCAGGACCCTGAGATCATGACCTGAGCCAAAAGCAGACGCTTAACCAACAGAGCCACCCAAGCACCCCCTGGCCCCCAATTCTGATCCTTCTCCCTTACCCTTCCTCTGCTTGCTCCACAGGGTGCAGAAGACCCTTTCTGCTCACCATCACACTAAATGCCCCTCCCTGCCCCCATTCTGTTGGTACAACAGAGACGGTATGAGAGTAAGGACTCTGGAACCAGACCACGGGGTTCAAATCTGGCTCTAACACTTCCTAGCTGCGTGGTCTCAGCAAGTTACTTCACCAGTCAGGCCTGGTGTCCCCATCTGGAAATAAGGACGGTACAGATGTTACTTCTCTTGGAGGACGGCTAGAACACCAGATGAGCTTCTATGCTCAGAGTACCTGAGGCAGCGCCCATGCACCCTAAGAGTCTGGAAGCATTGGCTATTCTTACCTCCCAGGCCTCCTCTCTTAGCCTTTCCTCCGACTAGGGCTTTGCCTGCCTCCCGGTTTTCCCACGCTCACATGTGCCTGAAATGCTTTCTTATCCTGTCCTCCTGGCAAGCTCTCCTTCACTCTGTTTGGCTGTCACCCACTTTGTGAAGCTTTCCCAAAGTCCCCAGAGACTCTCCCCCAGAGACTCTCCCCTCTGCCTCCAACTGGGGTTCATCCGGACCTTCTCTGATGCTGCTGTTGCATCTCTTATTGATGAACAGGACCATAGACATCACTCTGCCCCCGTACTTGACTCCTAAGTTTGCCTTCTGGATTTTGCCACTGGACAAAGCCAACGCCACCAGCGTCTCTCCAAGAGCAGGGCATGGTGAGGCTTCAATATATCAGACAGAAAGACAACATGTCACATACCAAGCACTGATTATGCCCCAGGACCGGAGCCAGGCATCATGCTGACACCTCACAACCTCCTCATGAGGGAGGACTATTATTAGCCCCATTTTAATCGATGAAAAAAAACCGACTCATCGAGGTACAGTCATTTGTCAAATGCCACATCTACCAAGTGACTTCACTGGGATTCGAAAACAAGTTCTCCCTGATCCACTGCCCATTCGGTAACTCTTGTCCAAAGTTTACGTGCCAGGCACTGAGTATACACAGCTCGGTGTCTCCTCACAACCACCTGGGGAAAAAAAGTTAAAATGATCCCCATGTTACAAATGAGAGCGGCAGGTCCAAGGTCACACAGCAAGGAACTATAGGGCCAGGATTTGAATCCAAGTCAGCCCAATGCCTATGACTAACACTGGCTGAGGGATTACTACAAGCCAGGCGCTGTGGTCAGTCTTTGCGAGGTGTCAGTTAATGCTTACCAGAAGCCTTTGGGAACTGGTATCCTCTCCCTACATCTGCAGAAGTCCCCCTGCTGGACTCAATTGCCTCTCTCCTCCATTAAAAGCCCATCTCCAGCGCTAACTTTCTAAACAGTGAAAATTGGAACATTAATAATAATAGCAAATGACAGTTCCTAAAACTCAAGTAATTACCATGTATCAGACTCCCTTGCTAAGCCCTTGAAAGGCTTGGATCTACATCCTGACTTTACCACTTCCAAACCCCGCCCCTGGGGGCCAGGGGTTAACCTTAACCTTTCTGGATCTCACTTCCCTCAAATAGAAAACAAGAATGATAGGGGTATCTATTCTTAAAATGGTTAGAGGGATGAAGTGAGTTCATAAACACCAAGTCCTTAAAACAATGCTGGGCAGGTGATAAGTGCTATGTACATATGCATTAAATAAATCAAACTTCGGTGAGGTAGAGAAAGGGTAGGACAGTCACTGACCTAATGTCAGCCACGTGCAAAGTGTGAGCAAAGAACAGAGTATAACTTGACAGTGCCCGTGGGACCATGATATTCCCTTTTCAAATCTCTTTCAGCTTCTGTCTACAATTTAAATAGACTATTCGGCTTCTGTTGTATTTCAGGTTACGTTTTCCTTCTTTTCGTGGCCAGCAATGCTAGTTTTCCATAAGTTCGCCAATACGAAATTTCCTGCTCAAATTAATTGACTGGAGGAAAAATGCATCAGTGGTTTTAAAAAGAAAAATCTACATCTATGAGATCTGGCAAAATTGGTCAAATAGGAAGTGGCAGGATGTCGATTTGCCCAATTCCAGATTCCGAGTTTTTCCTATTGCTGTCTCTGAGCTTCCTCCTACCCTCTACTTCCCTGAAAGTCCCAGCTACAGCAATAACTCTCAGAATCATTATTATCATAGTCCCAATACACTGAGCTCCTACTCAATACTGTGCGAAGCCCTTGTGCTAAGGGATTTACACGCACATTTCATCAGCATCCTCACAACGACCCTATGGTATAGCACTACTAACCCTCATTGTATAGATTCGGAAAATGAGGTCCAGAGAGGTTCAGGCATAGGCCTACTGCCAAAAGCTGGGCTGGGACTTGAACCGAAATCGGCGGGCCTCCAATTGCACGCTCCCACACCCAGATCTTCCATGCCAAGCGCAAACATTATCATCGGTACAGTACTAACAATAACAGTATAGTAACGAAGTGTGCAGTGTGCTAGGCGCTGAACTAGGGTCTCCGACATGCACGAGCAGACCTCTCACTCTAAGCCATAAGGAGGATGCTACAGTCAGATTCTGGCCCCCATTCTACAGAGGAGGAAACTGAGGTTCAGAGAAAGAAGTCGCTTGTCCGGGCCGCAGAGCGACGCCGAGACTGACTCCAGAACCAGGACGCCATCCATCCCCTCCGCATCCTGCCCGGTCCCACCACCCCCTGGCCCGCGCCTCACCTGACCCTCCGCGCCCGCGCCCACACGCGCTGCCCGCCCTCCCTCCCGGCAGCGCCAACTGTCAGACCCTCCTCCCTCGGCCCGGCTGCCCTCCCCGGAAGTACCGCCTTCGCCACCGGAAGCCGGATCCACCAGCCCGCGGCCGCTCTGGCCCGCCGGACCGCCACCAGCGAGAGTGCGGCCGCAACTGTCACGTGACCTCCCTCTGTCTTCCAGGCGCTTCCCTCCGCCCAGCGCTAGCGAGGAGCGCGGCCAATGAGAAAGGCAAATGCCTAGCCCCCGTCGTCCCGCAGTCCTGCCGGAGTGCGCCTGCGTGCGACGGGGGTGGCCGGGCGGGGCTCCAGCCTGGAAGGTGCGTGCCGGGCTGGGTCCGGGAGTGGGAGACGTGGAGTGCAGGTACTGTGCGATCTGGGGCGCGGCGCCGCTGCTGCCCTTTTCGTGTTGTCCTTCCCTCTGTAATGCATTTCTCCCTTTATGTCATCCAATGTCCCTTTATGTAGCCATCCCTCCCCTTATTTATGTCGCATCCCGGTTGAATGGTCACCACTCCACTTCTGTCGCCATCACCCTACCTATGTCGCTGTCAACCCCCTTAATTCGCTTTCGTTATAAGCCCCCGTTGCCACCCTACATTGCAGCCTTCCCGCATTACGCCGCCATCGCCTTATGTCGCCTGCGCCCCTCTTTTGTTGCTATTTTTCCTTTATGAAGTCCTATGTCTCCGTTCCTGCCGTGTCACCTTTGCTCCTGACAGTCACCGTCCATGCCTTATATGCTCCTAGTTTTCCCCATAAGGAGCCACTCTGCCTTCCAGTTGTTTTTTTTCCGTCCATGTCTCCTTCATTTTCCCGTGTCACCTCTCACATACTCACCACCGTATGGGCTACTAGAGCCCGCTTCCTGGGGTATACCAGACTCCCAGCTCTACCATGAAACCTCTGGGTAAC